CGATCTACATGTGTTTTGTGGACCTGTTAAGGCTCATGACTGTGTTCCCCGAGGCTTTCAGTGTGGGGTGCTGCAGGGTGACTGGGCTGTCTGGGCTATCCAGTGCCTGAATAATCAGAGCAGGAGCCGTGTCCTGAGCCTTGGCACAAAGTGGAGCCTGTTCTCTGTGCAGGTTGAACCCTGCCAGGGCTTGTCTCTAATCCTATTTATGGACAGGATCTCAAGGTTCAGTCGTGGAGAGGAGGGCGTCTGCTTTGGGAACCACAGGGTCTCGTCGCTGCTTTATGCAGATGAAGTGGTTCTGTTATGAACGCCAAGGCAGTTCACAGCTGAGATTCAGTTCCTCTTAGTCTGAGGAATGATTCTCGACAAGAAACAAGTGCAGGTCAGGATCCTTGCTCCCAGGTGTAAGATTCAAAAACCTAGGCATCTTTTTTAGTAGGCACAGATTAGCAGTAGATGGACTGAATGAGGCCTCATCCTCAGTAATGAAGGTGTTGCTTTGGTCACTCATGGTGACGAAAGAGCTGAGTCAAAATGTTAAACTCTTGATTTACTGATCCATCATTCTAACCTCACCTATGGTCATGAGGCATGGATCATGACCAAAAGAATGAGAACTCTAGCAGATAAAATAAGCTTCTTTCTTTTCTTTGCATCAAATGTAGTCAATTCAAGTGTAACTAATTAGGATGCTAACATTAAGGTTTTTTGGGGGGTGGGGGGGGGGGGGGCCCCCCTACCATGTCACTGGTAAGAGGCTTGTGGCAGACCTAACTCGCTGGAGGGGTTGAGTATCTTCTCTAACCTGGGAACACCTTGGGGTCCCCCAGGAGGAGCTGTAAAATATCTCCGTTTGCCTCCATGACTTGACTATTATTAAGCTGTAGAAGATGGAATTTATTATTTTGAGCAACATTAATGCTCTGGGAAGTGAACCTGTTTTAAGTCCTAAAACACCTTCTATTTTTAACAAATTTTACAAAAAAAGCTTAATATATGGTCAGAAACTTAAAACATTACCACAGGATTTAGACTATTATTTGATCACAGTGAATAATTTAATTAATAAAGTGCCTTGAAAATATCCTGCAAAATATGTAATAAAAATATTGGTTTATGATTAAAATTGACAGAAGATGGAGGTTGTGCTTTTTTTTAGTCATCTACACACACACTTCTTGTACACACATATGATATAGCACAAGATAAAGTGTAAAGGGGTTTACCCAGGAAAAGCTGTCAGTGTCTTTGATCAATCATTCTCCTCTCTGTTCAATCCATCATCATGTTCTGGTAAAAGAGCCTGTGGCCGAGATATTGTGTTTAGTATGACATCTTGTGGTTGAATTAAACATTTCAGTAGCCCAGTTAGTATCGTGGCACTAGCGGAGAAGGGGAACGCAGGCACAAGACATGAGTTTGGCAGTTTGAGTTCAAGTAATTTAGCATTTTGGGTCCCAAAACATAAAAATAAATAAACAAATCATTGAAAAAAAAAAAAGACATAGAAAAAATTCATGATCAAATCATGAACTGATACAAAACTGGATGGTCAAGCACTTAACATTTTTGTGTTTATTTTATTAAGCCATAACTTTTAAAATTTAGGCCAAAATATTCTCAGCATTTTTAGAAACATTTAGGAGTTAGCATAAGAAGTGAAACACATATAAATAAACAAATAAATTCAATTGAAAGACTTTCATTTAAAAAGCTCAGTGCAGAATCAAATGTTAATTG